GGAGGAGAAAGTGAGGCTGGCAACTTTGCAGAGCCCTCCCTCACTTAAATCCAATTCATTTACAAGTCATGGCATCACCTTTCTGATGCCATGGTCCTCTTTGAGAATGAAGGACAAACAACAACAAGCACAACGTCATCCACATATGAGAAAACCCACAGAGCCTCATCATCTACAAGGCTTCTCCTGGTTTTCAAGTTGTCCAATGATTCTGATATTGTCTCTCCTGGATCTATTTTCCAGGTCATTTGTTTTTCCCATGAGATATTTTATATTTTTTTTCTACTTTCATTATTTTTTTTTCTTGCCTTTTGGTGAGGTAATTGGGGTTAAGTGACTTGCCCAGGGTCACACAGCTAGTAAGAGTCATGTGTCTGAGGCACATGTGTCTCAGGTCCTCCTGACTCCAAGGCTGGACCTTATCCACTTCGCCTTCTAGCAGGCCCTACTTTTTTTTATTCTTTTGGCTAATTGTACTTTTAAAGGAGTTGCTTTCTTCAGCGGATTTTTGTATTTCCTTTTCCATTTGGCCAATTCTACTTTTTAAGCAGCTGTGGGCTTTTTCTAAGCTGCTGACTCTTTTTTTTTTTCATAATTCTCTTGAATCACTCATTTCTTTTCCCAATTTTTCTTCTACCTCTCTCATATAATTTAAAACTCCTTTTTGAGCTCTTCCATTAGTTCTTTCTGGGGTTGAGACCACTTCCCATTTTTGGGGGAGGTTTTGCCCACAGGTATTTTGACATTGTTATTCTCCTCTGAGTTTGTCTTCCTTTTCCCTGTCACCACAACAACTTTTTATGGTCAGATTCTTTTTTGCTCATCTTTTTTGGCCTTTTTCCTTTCTTTTAAATTTGAGCGCTGCTCCCAGGGTGGAAGGAGCACTGTCTCAGGCTTCTTGTGCCAGGGGCTGCAGGCCCTGGCTGTTTACCTGGTGCTGCACTGATGTTGCCCTGAAGTCCACAGGGTTCACTCATATCTGGTGCTGTGCTGAGGGGGTGGGGAAGGAGTTGGCTGGTGTTCCTGGAGGCCATAAGGGTCTGGCAGCTTAGTCGTGCTGAGCCAGGGTCCTAGTGCTTGTGTCTAGTGTGTGCTGAGGCCAGTGAAGTGTTTCTGCATTTCCAGGAATACACTGAAGCACACTGTGTGGAGGTTCTCAGAGCTGGAGTCTGCCTGTTCCTCTGGTTATGCTGAGGCATGTGGGGGATCCTGGTATTGGCATTTGCCTGCTACACTACACTGGGGCTCAGGATCTACTGCTGGTTTGCTGAGGTGGGGCTTGTTGCTGGCTTGCTAGGATGTTTCCTGTCCTGGATTTCACTCCCCTTTTACCTGAGACAGACCTTTCCTATCAATCTTCCAAGTTTCTTGGTCTCAAAGATTGTTTCATTCTGTCTTTTTGCTGGTTCTGCTGTTCCAGGACTTGTTGTGGGAAGCTATTTTATGTTTGTTTGGAGGTGAATAAGGGAGAGTTATGGCGATTTACTGCTTACTCTGCCATCTTGCCTCCCAGAAATGAAGTAATATACTTTAAATGAAATGTAAATAAAATCATCTTTTTCATTTTGTCAATTCCTTAATGAATTTTAGAGGCGTACTTTAGTTTGAAAATGACAATGTAAATCACATGGAAATCTTTCCCCAACGTATCTACTAAACTGCTCCAGGGCATATAAAGGAACCTGTGGTTTGGCAAGCTGAAGGGATTTGAGAAATGATAGAATAATAACTTGGTGCCTTCCTATAGTATGAAAAAGTTCTTTGTGCAACCACATAACAACACTGCTGAAAACACTATTTCTGTTCTTTTTATATCACAAATTTTAACTATATTTAATCTTTCTAAAGCCCAGGAAAATTAAATGAAGTAGTTCTATGTCTATTTAATAATGAAAGATGGAAAATGAAATTTAATTATTCTATCATCAAGATGATAAAACATTCCTACTTGTAGCTTCAAGGTACTTTGCTCTACTTAAAACTACTTTGTACCTCCAGTTCAATTCAATTAAGAAAAACACAAGCAATACACTGGGTTAGGCACAACAGATAAAATGAAATAAAGACACATATATTCTGTTATCTAGGAATTTATGAATATATTTGGGAGGGAAAAAGATAGGATGTACACGAAATCATGATATAAATTCTAACAAATGCATGGAAAAGGTATAAACAGAGTGGTAGGAGAGATCTTAAAACAGAGAGATTATTTACAGATGCTGGTGGTGTGGGAAAATCAGGAAAAAAATTCATGGAAGAGTTAATAGTTTAAGTGGAAACATTCTAGGCATGGGGGACAGCATGTGTTAAGTCCAGGAAGCTCTAGTGAGATAGGAAAGAGCAAATGATTTGGTTTGGATAGGCAGGAATCAGCAAAAAAGGCTGTCACAGTACCCAGCTAAGAATTTGTTTTGAGAGGGCCAATCTGAAGGCCATAGCTTGCTGACCCCTGAGCTCTGGAATGCATGAAGAAAAATAGTGTAAACTTGGGAAAGGTATGTTGCAGTCTGATTGTGGACCTCTTAATGTCAGGCTAAAGAGTCTGGATTTTACTCTCCATGTCAATGGAGAATCCACTGAGGAGAGGACAGATCAATCAGACTCCTACAACAGGAAGATTTCTCTTGCAGGGATATGAAGGATGAAATGTAGGAAAAGACACGTTGGCAGGTAAAGTGAAGCGACTATTACAACTGTCCAAGTATAAGTTCAGAGATGATAAGACCTGAAAGAGGATAGCAGCAGGAATATCAAGGGGGAGAGGTGAAAAAGATTCTAATGAATTATTCCTGTTTTCTGTCACAGTATTCTCCCTAGATACAATGCCTTCCTTGTTTCAGTCCAAATATTCTTCTTTCCTCAAATGAAAGATATTTTGAGCTTGAAACTCAATTTTTATATCTGTAAAAAAATGGGGCTTTCTATTTCTACTGTCCTGGGTTTTTTTCTACAAAAACTCTTCTAAATGGAATATTTCTTCTGCTTCAATGCATTTTTTTGTGCTTACTCATGTTACATCATTTTTTTTGGGTCTCCCTCAGGATAGTAACCAGGTCAGTTCAGTTTATTCTGTATTGTGCCTACCAAAATGGTATGCACACCTAAATATTTAATTAAAAAATCAATTTAAGATCATAGGTGGATATCAGAACTATAAATTCTTTCTTCATCATTCAACATCATTATTGAGAGGATAACATAAAACAAAGCTCATGTCTAAAAATCATGGATTTAATACAAGGTATAACTTGGGGACCCTTAAGATTTACCCACCATTAATAATTCAAATAATTCCAAAAGTAAAGCGAGATAAATACTAAAAGACTAGACAGATTACCCAAATTATTTTATGCTCATTGAAATCAAGGAATTTTTATCTAAAAGAGATCATTTGGTCTAACTCCTTCAGTTGAGGATTAGAGAAAGTTCACAAAAGGAATAACAGACTCAAATCAAACCAAGTCCCTTTGATTCTAAATGTAGCTCTCTTTCCACTATATAAGTCTGTGATATCCTTCCTTGTAAATTTTTTCCTTTCTCCTTTGCTTAAGCCTCTAGCTTAGCAGTAGTATTCCCACGTAGTGCTAATGTAAGCCATGGTTACTGTTGGAGGTTCTTTGTTTTCATTTGCTTGATTTGCACAATTGGTCCCAGTACCTCATGGTGATGAACTGAGTCAGCCTAGTAGCCCATGGATAGCAATTTAGTCAATATTGGTTTACGATCATTAAAGCAAGCAGTAGGGCAAATACATATGGCACTGCTTTATCTTGAGAGGTGACAGAGATTTGCCTAAAGGCTAAAGCAACTGTAGTGTGGTGCAATGTAAAAAATGCTAGGTCTAGAGTCAAGAAAATTGGGATTTGACACCTGTACCTGCTACTTACCACTGGTATGACCTTGGGTAAGCCATTTCATCTACATTGGACTCAGTTTCTTTATTTGAAAAGTGAAAGGGTTGGATTAGATGACCTCTAAAGGTAAATGAAAGCTCTAAATCTATGATTCTGAGAATGAATTTTGGCCCTTATAAATCAATGCTGATTTGGGGAATTCTAGTGGACTGTGTACAGCCATAGCATCTGAAAATATCCTATACACTGCACTGGTATCATAAGGGAAGTGTAACTTGCCAGGCAGAACATTAAGAAAGGAAGATAATGCAAATGCTACCTTTTTGGAGTTGTCAATGCAGGGTTCCCAGAAAAATGCAGATAAGAGGTTATGGGGCAAGGAAGAAATGGGTGAAAAGACTGTTGTTTGTCCTTCATTCTTGAAGAGAATCAAGAAGGTGATGCCATGACTTGCAAGTAAATTGGATTTAAGTGAGGAAGGATGTGCAAAGTCACCAGCCTTATTTTCTCCCCCAGAGCCATCTGGGTCCAGTAGCAAGATATAAATCAGGATAACTGGTCAGGTAAAAAGAAAATGATCATTAAAGCATCTACTTTAGACACTTAATTTTACAATAAATACAATGGGAATTTCCTTGAAGGCAAAAATATTTTCTTCTCTTATGGAAATAAAATGTCCTCCTTACTCTGTTTCTTTTTTTCCTTGATCAAAGTTCCCCTGTTATCAAGTATTTAAATATGCTTCTTCAATAAGTCTATGGATCGGGGCAGCTAGGTGGCTCAGTGGATAGAGCACTGGTCCTGAAGTCAGGAGTACCTGAGTTCAAATCTGCCCTCAGACTAAATGACACTTACTAGCTGTGTGACCCTGGGCAAGTCACTTAACCCTAGTTGCCCCCCCCCACAAAAAGTCTATGGATCTATGATTTCATGAATGTGAGCATTCCTTTCAACAATGAAGACCACAACCCATCCATTTAAATGTAGGTATACACTGGGGAAAAAAATTTCATCAAGCTATCACTGGCAAACTTTCAAGCATTTTCAAATAAATCACTTTAATGTGAAGAAAGTAGAAGTCTTTTTAGACTTTTTCAAACACAGAATCTGAAACCAACACCTTCAAATATACTTTATTCTTACCTCAGGAGCAAACATAGTCTCATAAGAAGGATTGTATTGGACTTCCTTAATGGCAGGATCAAGGTGTACTCCAGTCTCTACATCTTCCTAAAATAAACCAAACACATAAACTTTAAATATCTGGCAACTGTTTTATTACTTTCACTTGTATAAGCAGTGGTTTTAAATTCATGTCTAGTCGGTGGGTATGATAGCAATTTCTAAAAAAGCATTAAAACAACTAACATTTGTAAGATATGTATATATGTGTGTGGAAGTTCAAAAGACCAAGAAAAATAAGGGCAATGTTGGTAACATCATGTTACATTTTATATAAATAAGTACATATGCACATAAGTATAGACATGTATGTATACATACACGTACACACACAATATGCAGATATATGTATGCAATAAAGATTAATTATATACAACCTTCTTTTTCTGTTCTATATGGGAAGGTTCATATTTGTAATGTTTGTTAAATTCATAATTTTAAAAAATAAAAATAAATTCACAATCTTTTCTTCAGTCTTATTATCACAGCTATTTTATAAAATATGTTTAAAATTTCCAGCATATGATTAATAAAAATAAGTGTAGCAATTTTTGATGGTTAAAATGGCTCACAGAATCTGGCATGTTTTTCTTCTTTCAAAATAAATCTTTTTTTCTCCTAGTAAGTACAGAACATCCATACAAGTTAACACTGCTGGTGGTTTTAAATTAATTTAATAAGCTTTGATTCTTCCTTTTAGGAATTTCAAGTCAGTTCAGCCAAAAAAAATTCCAATTCTCAAACCATCTAATTCTCTACTTCCAAAATGATGCAATTAGACACCCTTAAATGAACAAACCACTTTTTGTGTAGCTAGGGAGAACAGGCAGTTTATGTCTTCTAGGAGTTACTAACTTGCCTAGATAGATAAGGCATATAAATAATCTGTAAATATAGGCATGGAAAAAAAAACAAACAAAAACTAGAGTAAGAAAATATATAAATTTTGGAAATGTGTGATACAGATTGTAAATACCTGATGAATTAAGAGAAGGGACAAATCAGCTTTTGGGAATTTTCTTATGATGTTCACGAGGAAGAGAATTTCATACCTCTGCTCTTCACACATTTATTAGGTATGTTCTCATTATTAATAGGTTGTGTGGGTAAAGTTCTAAACTTTCCTCTCTGGCTGCAGCTAATGGAGAGAACCTGATACAGGGCACCGATAGACACTTCCCCAAAGAAAGATACTACCAAAACATTCTCAGAGTAATAACTACATCTCTGAAACAACTTCTAAAAACAGCTACCTCCCTAGTGCCTCCATTCCCAAAACCATATATATGTCATATTACATTATAAAATACTGTATTTATATTTCCTGATTTGCTGGCCACATAAAGACTGAATTGGGGTAAGATATAGGAATCCTTTTCTAACGTAAGGAAAATAGCTTTTAAGCAACCTTTGCTGTCTGTATCCTGACCACCACCCCCATTTTCTCATACCCTTAGTCCCCCAGGACTCTGACCCTGGAAAGACTCTGGGTTCTGATAAGTCTTCCCTTATCTTGCCAAAAACCATGCTTCTATCTAATTTCTAGGCCACCATTTATAAACCATGTTGCCTGTAGTCTGGCCATCATTCTCATTCCCCCCCATCCCCCTCCATGGAATCTAGGAATACCACCTCCCTATCAAAACTTCCTCCTTTTTAGCTTCTCCCCCCCATTTTAGAATGTAATCTTGAGGGCAAGGACTTTTTTTAATTTTTTTAAGGTATTTGTATCCCTAGTGCTTAGCACAGTACCTGGCACACTCTAGACACTTAACGAATGTATGGTTTCTTCCTCCCTTAACTTCTCCAGGCAAAATATCCCCAGGTCCTTCAACCAATCCTTGTGTGACTTAAGATCAGTCACCATCCTAGTTGCCCCTCCTCTGGGCACTATTTGGCTCATCAGAGTCCTTTGTAAAGTGTGGCATCTAGAACTGAAGATACTTCAGATGATGACCAGATGCCTACTGGACATCTTGAATTGGATGTCTCCTTAAACCTCTTAAACTTAACATATCCAAAACAGAATTTATTACCTTTCCCTTCAAACCCTCCCCTCTTCCCAACTTCCCTATTATTGTGGAGGATATTACCATCCATCCTCCCATTCAACCAGTTCCTCAAACTAGGCATCATCCTTAATTCCTCATTCCCTCTTACCTCCCCACCCCTACTCCCATGCAACCTGCTGCCAATTCTTGTAGTTTCTACTTTCACAACAGCTATCACCTGTGTACCCTTTTCTCCACGCATACAGCAGCTACATCATTTCAGGCTGGAACTACTGCAATAGCTTTCTGGTTAGCATCCTTCAACTCTATCCCCAATCCAATCCATTCTCTACTCAGTTACTGAAGTGATTCATCTGAAGTACAGGCCTGAAGATGTTCCTCACCTATTCAATAAACTCCAGTGGCTCTCTATTACCTCCAGGACTAAAGATAAAAACCCTCTGGCTTTTAAAGACCTTCAGAACCTGGCCAGTTCCTACCTTCCTAGTCTTCTGACACTTTTTATTCACCTCCAATTTTTTTCTTTTTTCTTTTTTTGTGAGGCAATCAGGGTTAAGTGATTTGCCCAGGGTCACATAGATAGTAAGTGTCAAGTGTCTGAGGCCAGATTTGAACTCAGGTTTTCCTGAATTCAGGGCTGGTGCTCTACCCACTGCCCCATCTAGCTGCACACCTCCAAATTTTTTACAATCCAGCAGGACTGATTTCTTGCTGCTCCTCACACATAGCACTCTTATCCTGCAGTTCTGTCTTTTTACTGACCTAAAATACCAGCTTTGTCAGAAGATGTGGCATAAAAATTACTTTTTTCACTCATTTTCATTTAATAAAAAAAAACATTTTTACAATCATCACTATAAGCATGCCTAACTAGAATGAAATATTTACTTTTAAAAAGCTGCATACAAACCAACTCTTGGTAAAGTGAATACTTAAGAAATCCTTAGGGAAATAGTTTATTTAACAGAAGTCTGTGCTGAATTTTTTTAAATGGCTTTTTTTGGGGCTTTAATTTTCCCATCTGTAAAATGAGAGGGTTAGACTGGAAAGAGTTTGGAAAAGAAATGGGTAAAATCTAGAAGCAGGGCTGAATGAGAGAGTAAATATTCAGCTGCTGTTCCTGTAATGAAGAACATATAAATCAATGGGGACAATGCTAAGTTCTTTCCAGATCCAGTAGTATGCTTTCAAGAAATTAGTTGTTTTTTTTTAAAGTGATTATTTAGCAACCTTCATTTCTTTCCACAACTCTGGCAAAGGACACTGAAAGAGCCGGAATGCAAGGAAGGGAAGAATGACGAAATAACCTATAAATAAGAAGTCCCTAGGTGTTGAATTGACTGTGGTTAATTCTGAGAACAAGTGCCATGAGATCATTTAAACCAAATCTACATTAAGGGAAATGTTTTCTGATATTTCAGACCTTAGAGTAATGAAGAAGAAAAAAAAAAGCAGAGGAATGTTCTGTTGGGGGGAAACTATCTGGGGTGTAAAAGACATTGTACCAATTTATTCCTTGCCAATATGTTCATTTGCAACCAAAATAAAATTGTTCAAATGTCTGAGCTTACCTCAAATGACTTATCTGCTTCTGACAAACTCTTTCCTATTTTCCTATTATAATGTACATAAATGCTTAAGGCACAATGATTCTGACCAAATGTGAAGGTCATTATATAAAACATACAACACACAAAAACATAAAATAGTTAGCATTTTCTTTTCCAGAACCATATTATGAAGTTATTGCTTTTGTTTTAGTAAGCATAAATTCTAAATTCTAAAGTCTGTGTTTTGGAAGGTCTATTTTTGTCTAATTTCTTGTCCAGTGCCCTAAACCCCAGTCTTGGACCACCCCTATTTACATACTTTTTATTCCAACCATATTTTTAGAATTACTGCTCAAAAATTGTCAGTAATTCCTGATAGGCACTAAAACTACTTTATTCACAATTTAACTCCAACACACTTTTCTAACTTTACTTCATACTATTACCTATCTAGGTAAGTTCTCACCCAGCCAAACTGAATCCTGCTTTTGTGCCTTTCTTGCCCTCTACACTTCCACCTAATGCTCAGACATCCAGCTTAAATATTATCTCCTCTATGAAACTTTTTCCGATCCTTCTGGACAAAAAGAAAAACTTTCCTTCTTTTGAACTATCTTAGTGCTTTGTTCCTTTCTTATTGCACTTTCCTGCGATAGCTTGTATTGTAGTCATTTATGTACACATCTTAATCCCTTTACTAGACAACTACTTGGTTAAGCTCAGTGAGGGCAGAGAATGTATCTTATTCTTTGTATCTCCCCTACAGCATCTAGCACAATGCTTCTTGTGCACATGGTAGATGCTCAATAAACATGAATGCAAGTCAAGGAACAAAGCAGACCTATATCCCTTTGTAAATTCATCCCATGTAATTCTAACCTAGCATTTGGTAACACGAAAAAAAAATATCTCTTGTTTAGTACACTTCCCCAAAAGTTATTCCAGACCTCATTATTCTCTAAGCTCCCATTCTATCCTTCCATTCTCACTACTGTCAAATGGACTGAACCAACCTTACTTAAGCTGTGGATGGCTGAAGCTGAGTATAGCAGGCTAGAGACAGGAGAGTTAGGAATCAAAGAGAAGTTTAATTTCAAAGCGAAGAAAATGGCTTACAAGCAAAAAGGGGATCTAGACCCATGTGCCTGGGCCCTGCCCCTAGTGTGGTGACCCTGTTATGTTGTGGCTAAACCTCAATACTTAGTGGCTAAGCAGTGAACTGTAGCCCTGACAATGAAGGGTAACAGCAACAACGTGACAAGTTTGATTCACAGCATAGCTTCATGACCAGAACTTGTCTGTGCTTTTGTCCAGTGCTCATCCAAGCTCAGAAAACACCTAGTGCTGCTGGTCAAAGCAATACAATAATTATGTGATTTTGCCAGAGGGTGAGATCATCCAGAAAGGAGAACAAAGCATTGTTGTTGTGCCAAGCTCAAGGCACAGCTTGCTTGCTGTGCCTTAGCTCTGGAAAACAGGGTGTCTCCTAATATCTTGACACTACCAAAAATAAAAAGAAATGCCATCCTAAACTCATCTGTCTTTCTTTGTTCCCTCCAATATTGGGGTGGGGGAGGTATCTGGATTCTCTTCTCTAAAGCTAATCAATCCACTGCCCCTCCAGAATTCAGATAAACTTGCTCCTACATATGTGTTCTTCCTTTAGCCTCTCCCGACTGGCTTTCTCCAGCTCTTCAAATATGTAGAGTCAAGTCTGTTGCTCCCCTATTGACCTTCCTTTTTTTTTCACCATTAAACTTTCTAAACAGGTAGTATACACTTACTGTTTCAGTTTGCTCACTTTCTACTCTCTCCTTAACTCCCTGCCATCTGGTTTCTATAACTACTACTCTACTGAAATATCTCAGTCAGTTGGGTTTTTTTGCCCTTCTCATACATCTCATACATTTCCACTTCTATTATCTTCACTTGTGTGATCTCTTCATCTGGAATCCTTCTCCACTTCTTCAAATGTTACCCAATCCGTCTAGGACTACTCCAGCCCACATTAATCTCTCCTCTGGGATATCATAATCTGCCATACACTTTAGTATTTAATTATGTTATCAGTGATTCTCAAACTTTTTGACTTCAGAACTCCTTTTTACTCTTAAAATTACTGAGGAACACAAAGAGCTTTTGTATGAGTAATATCTATTGATATTTATCATATTAGAAATGAAAACATCACAGTATTATTATGAAAAGTTTTGACCTTGCAGAACCCCTGAAAGAATTTCAGTGATCCCCAGGGGTCTAAGCCCACACTTTGACTATTTCATGCCTCAGAGCAATGTTTCATAATTAGCCTGTAGCACCTTTAATTACATAGTTTGCTATTTTTAACTACGGTACATACAACAGTGTTTTTTCTAGATAAAAACATGACTATGTTCAAAAAAGATCACTATTTTTTCCTCCTTTGACCAGATGTATCTGGAGAAACTGCAAGTTGTAATTCCATAATTTAAATAAGCCTCAAAAACTTATTAGTTGTGTGACACTGGGCAAGTCACTTAAACTTTGTTTCTTCATTTTCCTCATCTGTAAAATGCAGATAATAGCACCTACCTTCCATCATGGTTGCGAGGATCAAATGAAATAATAATTGTAAAATACTTAGCACCTCCGAGTGCTATATAGATGTTAGTTATTATTATTATTATTGTATTAAATACTCTCTACCACCCAAGTCAGAACCATTAGAAGTTCATAAACAACCATTTTTTTTTATTCATAGATTATCATAGACGACCATAGACCACACCAGTCAGTGATGCCAGAGTAGTAGCTGTGTCAAGTTGGTGTCCAGGGGGAGCTAAGGGAAACTATGTTAACTTCTCCTTCTGGTGCTGTCTCAAAGTGTGGTCTAGCATGGATTGCATCAAGTGTTTTGACACTGAGGTTGTATCTTGTTTAATTGATGCAAGTCTTGTATCAAGCTTTTGTAAGTTGTTTTGGGTGGCTTTGAATGCATTGCAGATTGTTTCCTCTTTACCAAACTTTCCATAGCTTCCCCTAGTTTCAAAAACATGTGCTCTATTTTAAGGACTGAATTGGTTAAGATACCAATGGTGGGCTTCAGCAGTGGAGAGACACATTTGAATTTCTGTTAACAGGTTGTGAACATCACATTCTACAATGGCGGCAAGCTCATTGAACATTTTTCCATCCTGAGATCCCAAACAAGCGCTGGCACATCAATTTCTGTCTCGGCCATCAGTGCATCCTCCACTTTCTAGGGCTCAGGTCCAGGAAGCAGTGCATCTAAGCTTTCTCCTGTCACAGGCAAACTCTCCGCGTTCTGCTCCTCTTTCTTCTAAAACCCTTTTGGCTAGTCTGCTAGCTGGTTAAGTCAGAGGTCTAATCTCTTCATCACTTGGTGGGATCTCGAGCATTGCCATCTTTAATGGTTAAACAACAGCAAAGTTCAATCAAGGCAAGGATGGTGTCTACTCTTCTGTCCATCTATGGTTTTCCTAACAACTATGATTGTTCCTAACCGTACTTTTTAAAAATGGTTTTTGAACTAACACTATTACTTATCAACTCTATTCCAGAACATGACAGGGATTCTTAACCCGGGATCCAGGGGGTCCATGAACTTGGATGGGGAAAAAAAAATTACATCTTTACTTCATACAATTGGTTTCCTATGTATTGCTACATATTTTATGTATTTACAAACATCATTCTGAGAATAATATCTGATAACAATAGTTCATTTAAATAGCAGTTTAAGGTACACAAATTGCTTTGCAAATATCATCTCATTTTAATCTCCTAACAACTATTTACAGATGAGGAAACTGAGAACAGAAAGGCTAAGTGACTTGCCCAGGGTCATAAAGCTAGTAAGTGTCCGAGGTAGGTTTACTTTATCCATTCCATCAGCTAGTTTGCACACACACACACACACACACACACACACTCTTAAACCCTTGCTCTATGATGCAGAAATAGTGGCAGTGATGCAGTAAAAGGGACATTAACCAGGAGCCAGGAGACCTAAATCACAGTTCCAGCATTTTCACCTACAAGCTATATAAACTTCCTGGGCCTCACTTTTCTTATCAATAAAACAAAAGATCGTTTTAAATTCTAGAATCCTATGTCTCAAATAGGAATTTCCAACCTTTTTTGTGTCAGATTCCTTTAGAAATCTGCTGAAGCCTATGGAATCCTGCTCAGGAAAATGTGCCTGGTACATGGTAGGTGTTTAATAAATATTTACTGATTTTTAAAAACATAAAATAAAATACATATGATTATAAAGGAAACAGATCATGTTGAAACAGCTATCAAAATATTAAAAAATAAAAGTTTGCCCCCAGGTTAAGAACCTTTGTGTAAAATGTTATAAAACACATATGAAAATACAATTATGCTATTTTTCCCATTTCCTCATAAATGAAACAGAGAATTCAGATGTAATACACAACAAGGCAAAACAGTTGAAGTGCCTCAAGTTATGAGTACCTGACTTGTAAACATCATGTACATAGATCTGTCTGAGTTGTATACTCCCACCAAGTGAGGAGGCTTGGGCTCCTATTGTTGGCCAATCAATAAGAGCCAGAGCGATTCGGGCTTAAGGCATGGTCCATAAAAAAGAATCTAGCCCATAAAGCCCAAGGTATTATGCTAGGTTTCAGTGATCAAAATTTACATTCTTTTAAGCAGAGGACCCACAGATAAGGGTATGATTCCCTATGTGGACAGAGGGAGAAGAGGGAGGGAGGAAGGGAGGGGAAGGGAAGAAGGAAAGAAAGGAGGGAGGGAGGGAGGAATGAAGGAAGGAGGAAGGAAGGAAGGAAGGAAGGAAGGAAGGAAGGAAGGGAGGGAGGGAGGAGGGAGGAGTTGCACTGCCCAGCTGGAACTGTCTAGTTGGGTCCCCAGTGGGGCAGCTCCTACTACTCACAGGTTGTTTGTTCTTTGCTCTGGAAGTGGACCATGACATCAGGAAAGAGTTGTCATGACTTGCAAGTGAACTGGATTTAGATGAGGCAGGGATGTGCAAAGTCACCAACCTCACTCTCTCCTCCTGAGCATCTGGGTCCAGTGGAAAGACACAGATCAGGACTACAAGAGACGCCCCGGTTAGAGTGAGAGGCCTTGACCTTTCTAAGCTAACGTCTTTCCCAGGTCTTAGTTTATCTGAGTCAAAGCCCATTCAGTGATTAAGTCAGCTGGGAAACAAAACAAAGCAAAACAAAACAAAAACCAGGCAAAGAATGGCCTCTTTTACCTAGTCAAAAGTAAAGAAAAAAAATTCAATCTGGGAGGGGAAGATTCTTAGGGTTTCTGGTCAAAACAGAAACAATTGCTATTTTCACACTCACTCAGAGCCATCAGAATCCAAACAATTACCAAGTGAGGCTTGGGGCTGCATTGTTGGCCAATCAATGAGAACCAGGGTGATATGGGTTTAAGGACTGGTCCATAAAAAAGAAACCTAGCCCTTAAACCCCAAGGTATTTGGCTAAGTTTCAAATAGGGGGGAGAGGAGGGAAGGTGACTGGGAGAGGAGAAACAGGTGAGGGAGGGAGAAGAAGAGAAAGGGATGGAGAGAGGGAGGAAGAAGGAGAGAGGGGAAAGGGAGGGAAGAGGGTGGTGAGGGGAGAGATAGGAAGAGAGGAAAAAGGGAATGTAAAGTTCATTAAAAAAAGCAACACTAAAGTCAGGTCACGAGGGGCTTTAGATGCTGAAGAGGGCAATTTGCCTTTGCTCTTAGAGACTTGGTTAGTCAGACCTGAGCTTTAGGAAAAATGCCTCGGCAGCCAAGTGAGGGGGCTGGGGCTGAGGGGGGCTGGGCCTGGGTCGCAACAGCCTTGGTGAAGGATGGTTCCCAAATCTCCGGGCATCGAAAGACCAGGAGCCTCCCCCTCCGCAGACGAGGAAACAGAGTCAGTGAGTCAGTCAGTCAACACACAAAGATCAATCAACAAGCACAGATTAAGCCCTTGCTCGGACCCAGGCCCAGAGCTAAATGCTGGGCGCACAGCAAAGGCGAAGAGCACGGAGCGCCCTCAAGGAGCTCCCATTCGAAAGAGAAGGCGCCGTGCGAACACCTCTGTGCCCTCCTGAGCTCCCCAGAGCCGCCCCTCCCCAGCCCTACCCCTCCGCACCGGCGGACCCCGGGCCGAGCGGACCATTTCCGCCCCCAGACCCCGACCCCCCAGACTCGCCCCTCAGAGCCGAGAAAATACTCACCTTAACCGCCACCTCCGGCGCCGCGTCCACGGTCCCCACCAGAGAGAGATTGGCCGAAGGCGTCTTCGTCAGATGGATAAGGGAGTCGGCGGCGGGTAGGGAACAGCGTCCGGTCTCGTTGTCGGAGTCGGACTCGGACCCCGAGCCCGAGCCGTAGGAAGCTGCCAGGGCAGCGATGGCAGCAGACATGACTGCGGCTTCGACTCTCCCGGGGCAGCTCAGGCCTTGGCGGAAGAAAGAGCCGCGATCGGAAAGGTCCTAAAAACCTTTGGTCGCCCTCCAACCTCCTCAAAACTCGAATCTAAGCCAGTTCCAGGAGTTTCATATTACTGGTTATTTAATATTTGATCTATTTATAAAATACGAGGATCTTAAATTCAATCACTTAATGGGCGAAAGAAAAGAAACCTGGGTGTTTTTTTTATATCTTCCAGGACCATACCGGCTTAATTAAAAGACTACGAGTTCCGACAAGGGAGCTAAATACCAGTTCGCCATGCGGCGTCGCGTGAACAAAGCACCACGGGAGTTGTAGTCGTTCTTGACACCGCCCCTCAGTGGCTGGTTTCATTCAATTGGCTCTTGCCTTACCTTATTCCCTAGCCCATCCTCAGTTCTTTCTGGCCCCCTCCCCCAAACCGAGGATTGGATTATACCACGCAGTCTCTGGAAAAGGGGGTGGGGAAGCACGGCTTTCGTGCCATTAGGGTGTGTTGGGGGCTGGGTTTCCAGCATCCTCAAAGGGTACACCTGGGTACCGGAGCCCGAGGAGGAAATGGAGGGTCTTTTCACCCGAGCCCCCGCTGGGGGATAACCTCTCTAGTGGGAGGTTAGGGAAAGGAACTTGGAGTGGGCAAGGAGAGGGAGCATTGTTAGCCCCCCTATTTCATGCTCCCTTTTCTCTCTCCCGTTTGTGGAGCTCCGCGCGCTCTAGTTAGGGGGCGGGGTGGGGGGAGGGGGAGGTTCGCAGTGTTGTTCGCTCGTGCTTCTTGCACCGGGTTATTCCTGAAAGAGCCGGAGCTAGAATTATTGCAGGTTAAACGAAGCGAGGGGTGGGCCGGGTCGGGTCCGGCCCGGCTGGGTCGCTTGGAACAGGAATCCAAGGGGTTACCTCCCACCCACACCTCGAGCCGCTACCCACGGCCTTCGGAAGAATCGGCTGCAGAAGGAGTGGCAAGCAGCATCAGCCGGCATGAAGGAGGTGTAAGACAAGAGCTTCCCCCCGCACCCCGATTTTACGGTGAGTGTGTGAGAGTGTGTGTGTGTGTGTGTGTGTGTGTTGCCTATCCTTCCACGCCCCCGGAAAAACTGGATGGCTCAGTGTTGTAGCGCCCTCCCTCCGCCCGGTTGCCTATTCCCTTCTAGCTATCCCCCCATTCCTTCGGGTTCCTTTCCCCCACGCCTCCCACCCCTGCGCAGCTGGTTGCGGAGCAGGCGAGCTAGGCGTTTGTGCCTGTCTTGTGGTTGGTTGCTGGAATCGCCCTGTGGCGGCGGCTGGAGGGAGGTTGGGAGGGTGCGGGTGCAGGTCCCACCTGAGGGTGTCATTGCTGCTTTTCCTAGGACCTTCCTCCGGCTGTCACACCTTCTAGCTTTTGGCGAAGGCTCCACTTTAGGGGTCGTGCATTAACCCTCGTTCCTCGTTTGACTGTGAGTCTCCTCAAAAAGCAAGCGTGTGTGTGTGTGTGTGTGTGTGTGTGTGTGTGTGTGTACGCGCGTGTTTATGTCCAGCTGCTTTGCTCATTGCCTTTATCCCTTCATTTGAGGGGGAGGAGAAGTGGCGGCAGGGGCGGTAATGTTAACAGCCTTCGCTGCTGCTTCTGTCGTCTCTGTCACCTTGTACCTGTAAATGGGGTTCTGGCGAAGGCTTAAGAGGGGGAGAAGTTCCCTTTCTTGGGAAAACTCTCTCATTGCCCTACCTAGACAAATAATTCAGCTAAGAAGAATTAAGTGCTCCTGTCTTATTATTCTATATCCGTCTCCCTACTCGTGGTACAAAATGCTCCCTGGCTTCAGAAATCTCACGACTCTTGCACTTGCTGCTTTGCCAGCAGAGCAGGGCTTGAAAACGATGCCGATCCAAACAAATTCGACTTGTCTTTTAAGCAGTTCACACATTCCTTCCTATATAACGCATTGTATTTGATGCGATTGAGCTTAATTCATTTGCTACATAAGATCTGCGTTGTGAGTTGTATTTTAATGCTCCTTTTGGTGATATGGCATGCGAGTTTTCATTGGCTTCTTTGAAACATCTAATTGTCTTAAACACACTTGTATATTATGTTTCTAATTGTTAATAGCATAGTGTTTAACAAGAGCGAGTCATTCTTTAATGAGAATGCAGTCTTTGGGTTAAGATACAAATTTTTTCGGGGCGGGGAGTGATTTCCAACGTAGTGTGAATAAAACACCTACAATGTAAATTTCTCAAATTGCTATAAAGGAAAATTTGGTATTTTCCATTTTAAGAACTTTGCTTAATTTTCAGTAATTGAATGTTCACGGTAGCTAATAATTTCAGCCTTCCTTGAAATTCTATTTTTTTGAAAGAAAAGGAGGATTAAGAAAGGATTGTAATGCTGTATTGATTATTTCATACTATTTAAAATTTTATTTTGGTTGTAATCATTCTCTTTTATATAGAATTTTCTCTTTTTTTTCTTATATCTGTTCACAGTTAATGATACATTTAAAAGATATGAACATTTAAAGGATATCTTTAAAAGATGAAATAGTTTTTCAAAATCGAAGAAACGTATTTTAATCATTATCGTTGGTGATGTCTTAATCATTGTGAGAATCAGTTCTATATATCTCTGACTTTTAAAGAAAAAGGTACCAAAACTAAGTACTTTGTTGTGTGATTGCAGCTCCTCCTTAGCTTTTCTGTGTGCCTAGGCATTAAGTTTATTATTAACACTTTTGACTGAGCTGAATTGAGTATAGATAGGCATTGTCAATTGATACTGAGATACATACAGTAACTGTTTCATAATAGAGGGAGTACATGCAATAGCAAGATAAAGAGTTGTGTTATCTGAGGGAATGTGATGTTAGGGCGCTTGCTGTAGGAGATGGTGTATTATGAGATTTAGGTCTGGGAGATTTATATGGACCTGTCTGTGCTTCGATTTCTCTGCAAAATGGGGTTAATACCTATTTCATAAGAATCTTATAAGGCATAAATATGATATTGCTTTTAAAGTATTTAAAAGATTTTAGGTTGAATAGGAATGCAAATTGCTCAAATACATAGAAAATGAAAATTGAATTAGACTTTATCATGATGACTGATTAATTTATTCTGTACTTTGTGTTGGGAAGGTAAAGCTCTAATGAGAAAAATATTTTTATCTGACTTAAAATTGATTATTCTAGTAAAATTGATTATTCTAGTGTTGAACATATATTTTTAAAAATCCCTTAAATCTGAGGGAATGCTTAAAGACCCTTGGATAAAGTATGCATAAAGACCCTTGGATAAAGTATGCATAAAAGCTTTATTTCAATTCAATGAAGTGCCTACAGAAAATATCAAGACCTTTCCCCTGCCCTTCAGAAACTAGCAGGTGAGAGATAACCTATAAAGAGGACCTGTCAGTTGAAAGGTGGGATAGTTACTTTGTTTATTATTGAAGCTTAGGAATTAGTCATTGTGTTCAGGGGCATAATGTATTTCTGTTGATCAAAACTATATTTAACCATGCATCTTGTTTTAAAGTGGGGGTAATTTGAAATAGCCTGTTGTTTGAATTCTTTATGACCTGATAGCTTGTATCTCATTATTTCCTATTTAGGAAGTTTGACCTGTTTACATTAAACAATAACTTTGTTGCTATTTCACGTTTAAAAAGACTAGAAGAATCACCTCCCCCCCCAATTTTCATATTTAGTGATGTCAGTAGGAAGCATTATACTTTTTGGATTATGTGAATGACTTGGTTATGTGGATGCCCAAGTTCTTAGGCTATTAAAGGTTGTTTTAAAACAGTTATGAGCTTTTTAATTGTTTATTTCATTGTGAATTCATTTGATTATTGTTGAGATTATTCAGTAAAAGAATTACAAATAAAAGTAACAGCCATACTGTTAATTAAAGAGAGGACAAATCAAATTAAACAGTCACTATGTGATTTCTGTGCCGAGCTGTATCTAGAGGAAATATATCCACTGCATCAAAAAAGAATTATTAGACATTTTAAATAAAGCAAATGAAATGGATTTGCTTTTACATAAATCTATTTAAATCCTAAGGGTTAAATCATGACCTAGAAACAACAGAGCTTTATCTAGAATCTATATTTTTAAAAACTGAATTAGCCATTCAGATATAGTTCAGAACTTTTACATTCCGTTTTCTTAGTCTGTCAGTAGGTAATGAATGTATTATAAATTAGCATCATTTTACCTTTGAAATTATGTTTTAAATTTTTCTCAAATGTTTTCTTCACAAATCTCAAGTTTTTCTTATCCTTTTTTATGAAAAAAATACAGATTTAAAATTATTTCTTAGTCTTTTTTATTTAAAAAAAACCTACATACTTAGTATAGAGCAAAGGTAAAACATAATATCTCATTTTAAGAGATAATTCAATTTTCCAGACTAGCATACTTTTCCACTTGGAAGTACTTTGATTTATTTTAGAGAGGTGCTAATGAAAAGCTAAATCATATTAAGTGTACTAGGAAAGCTTTTTCTTTTAAAGGAATCCTAATGTGAATCTTTTATAAAGCCAAATATCCTCTTGTGTTATGAATCATCACCTCTAATTAACTGAAATTTGATCTTTCCTCCTTTCACAGCTAATTTCATAGAAAAACCTGTCACTATTCCCTGCCACTATTTTATAACTTTCCACTTGCCTTTTTCTTTTCTTTATTTATGACTTTTGCTTTTTATCACGTTTGTTTCCCACTATATCCTTCTCCCTTCTTTTATTAAGCAAGCCTTTAATTGTAACAAATTTAAATTAAAATAAAGTTCAGCAAAGCCAGGCAACCCATAAACTGTGTCTGACAGCATGTGCAGCATTCCATGCCCACAATCCCCCACCTCTTCTGTGAAAGGAGATTAATTTTCTGATTTCTTCAATGGAGCCAACCTTGAACATTTTAACTATTCATTGTTCAGTTTCAGTCTATTGTTCTTTCCATTTATAGTGATGCTTAATTTCAGTCCATTGTTCATTCAGTTATACTGATCACTTTCAGCCCATTGTTCTCTCCATTTACACTGGATAGCCATATATGTTATTTTCCTTGTTCTGCTTACTCCTTTTTGCATCAGTTCATATGAGTTTTCCCATGTAGAATATGAACAAAAGTTCTTAAAGGAGTTGTAGAATATTAGTAGCTATATGAAGGATTGATCCAAATTATCAGTAATAAAGGAAATGCAAATTAAAACAGTTCTGAAATCTCACACATAGCAAATTGGCAAAGATGGCAAAAATGGAAATAATCAGTTTAGGAGGGGCTGCAAGAAGACAAGCACATTGATAATAACAGTCATTTGTATAGCACTTTAAAGATTGCAAACCACTTCCAAATATGATCTCATTTTATACAACAATCCAGGGAGGTAGCTCTCTATGCACTGGACCACTTAGCTTCCAAATTAATACACTGTTGGTTAAGCAGTCCAAAAATTCTGGAAAATGATTTGGAATTTTATGAAAAAGTAACTTAAGATATCTATATCTTTTGATCCAGAGGTTTCACTGTTAGGCATGTACCACAAAGTGATTAAAGTAAAAAAGACATGCTCACATACTGCAGAGTAGTCATAGCAGGACTTTTTGTGGTACCAAAGAACTGGAAACAAAAAATATGCTGTAATATTTGGGATTAGGGATTTATTAAACAAATTGTGGTACATGAATGTAATGGAATATTATTGTCCAATAAGAAACATTGAATATCAGAAATTAAGAGAAATATGGGAAAATTTCTATGAACCTATTGGATTCTCAACCCCATACATACTGACTTTGATCCGTACCACTAGATTGAAGCTCCAAGGTGTCTGTCTGTCTGTCTCTCTCTGTCTCTCTAATGGCCTTTCCTCTGTCCCACTTCTTCTTCTCTCTACACTGTTGATCACTACCTCCATCTGGATATACTGTCTTCCCCTGGGTTTTCATGATGTTACTGTATTGTCATTGTCTTAACTGTTTTGATCTTCTTTGTAGGATCATTATCCATCTCCCAACACTTAAGTATGAGGATCTCTTTAATTCT